AGAGAGAGAGAGAGAGAAAGAGAGAGGAAGAGAGAAAGAGACAGAGAGACGGAGTGAGATCGAAAATGCGGCTTTACATTGATTGGAACTTTTTAAATTTGATGTCTATATACGTTTTTTTACTGTTTAAATGGCAAGATAATTGACAATAGTGTGGGAGGTACAAATCTTAGCTATACTTTTTCTGTATTTGGATGGTTTTGAAAACTCTTCATCCCTCCAATATGATACATTATGTAAACCACAAGTTGAAACCAAAATGAACAGTGGCATAATGTGGACAATTTATTGCTCGTAATTTATCTCATATCATCAAAAGTCTGCACTCAGGGGCTTTTCTTTCGTTTTTCCAACTTTCGCCATGGACATCCTTTTCACGCACAGATCGAAAAAATTATGACTGTAAGCTAGCGCAGTAGCAAACTGATTTCGAAATTGATTGATAAGGATACATCGTCTTATTTAAAAAAAAAGCAATGGCCGGAGCAGCCTAGCCTGAGCGCTCACCAGCCACCCGATTTCTCTAGATAACATGGAGCTTATGAAATGACTAGAAAGCCATATTTTTTTCCCTGCGATCAGGAGCCAATAATAGGAAGGACAAGGATCGATGAAGTTGTCCAACACTCCGCATAACTGTCTGATATTTGAGACAACTAAGTAGTACGGCCAGGGTTCTCAGCTGAGATGTGGATTGATTTCTGAATACATGGGATTATTTGCCCTAGGACATGGGGGATCGGGTATTGCTTTCAATTGATTCAATGGCCATTAACAAAACAAACAACTTTTTGAGGCGAAGTTTATTAGGTCCACATTATGTGACAAAATGATTAGTCTAATCCTCCCTGAAGGCAAAAAAAACGAAAGTCTAAAGATAAATATTCTATATTTTCAGATTTATTGCTGTCTAAAATCTCTTCAGGCAAGAGACAATACCTTACAATGGACATGAACGACTGGATAATTGTTATAGTATTATAACATTATTACACATTATATTCACGACGCTGGAACGTGGTCTTTGTCCCAAGATCTTGGAGAGCTTTCTGATTTCATTTTCCTTTTTATTCGTTTGGACTAGATTCTAGTTTTAACAGCTATGTTTTTCTCCTCCAACCTATCCGGTGTAGAGTTCTAGTTGGTGGTTGCTCTTCTTCTTTCTTACTGTCATCCTGCATCTTGACCTTGATAACTGTTCTCTATTTCTATTTTTCTTCTGTTTCTTCATCTAGTTTATTCTTTTCTTCGTTCCCCATATCTTCTATTTCTTCATTTAGTTTAATCTTTTCTTCTGTACCACCAATCTCTTTATGTTTCACCTTGCCACTTTTCTGAGATTTAGACAATTTTTGATCGCAGCAGCTGCCACAGCAATGGCATTTACATATTGCACATAAAAAAACCAGGATGGTCTCTTCTCCTTCTTTTTTTAATTTGTTTTTTCATCTTACGCTGAAAACGCCTTTGGTTCTTTTTTCCTTCTACGATTATGCAAGGCTCAGGCAAATTGATAAACGTGAGTACACGAATTTGCTTCCGCCCTGTCTATGGCTTCGTTGTCTCCGAGTATCTTCTTTTCGTTATATTTACTAGTTTTATCCTTTTCTCCTTCTTTACCCATCTCTACCTTATAACTATACAGGTTTATCGGACAATGTGTTTTCTGTTTCTTTCTTACTTCTTTTATTTTCCAGCTTCGAATCCTGTTTTGTCTCTGGGTTGCCACGACTGCTGCCATCTTTATCTTTGCCGTGAAGATTGCCACCTCCCTTCGTTGGCGATTTCTTTCTGGACCGTGACTTGATGGCACGAAACCAACTGAGTAATCGTTCCATAGCCCGACTGCGCTGTTTCCACGATTTTTCATGCTTCACTCTGCAACTTTCCCGAGATTTAGACCATTTTTGCCTGCTCCGGTTTTTAAGGTTTACATTTTGCATACATTAAAACAGGATGTTTTCTTCCCCTTCTTCTTTCTTTGTCTCTTTCTTTTTCAGCAAGCTACGTTTTCCTTTCTATTTTTCCTTTTAGGGGCTCTTGCAAATTTATTGTGATTACCTTTGTTCTAAATTTTTTTCCTCTTTCACAAGCTAGATTGTCATATACTGTGGTAAACTAGGTTTAACAATGACCGGTTTGAAGTCAGTCGCTTTCTTTGATTGAAGCAAACACTTAAATCGTCCAACGAGACCTCGGATTAGGCTTATTTACCTTGCCATCCCTTTAAAAGGATCACACCGCAGTACATGAGCCAGCTGCCCTTATTGTCTTGTGTTTTCTTCTTAAATTTCTTATTCTTTCTCTTGGAAAAAGCGCTGTCTTCATTACTATCTCTCGCTTCGTCCTCCTGCTCCTCATCACCATTATCACAACTTCAGCTCCCCGTCGTAGTTTCACGATCTACCTCATCTAAGGAATAGTTAGTTACAGGAGGGGTTTTCTCTTCGCAGTCCCGACCTTTTCAGGTTTCGAAGCATACTGCTTTTCTTTCTGTTTGTAATCACTCTCGATTATAAGAATGTAATCATATAATATAAGAATTTTCACAATTTTCTTCCGGAGGAGGGATCGAGCGACTGCAGCAGCTGTTCCTCAGAATTTACCAATAGAGACATCTTTTATTAGCACCAGTGCCATCTCCATAACCAAACCACACTGAGTGCTCCAAGTTCTGCTCTCTCCAGTGACTCTTTACTTTATTGTCACTCCAGGGATCGGTGGCGAGCATCGACAGGGGGCAGACAGAAGGACACGGGAGCTCACCTGAGGGGAACGAAACATAGGTGCCACAATGTCTTTCTTTTCGGATATTCCTAGGGTTTTTACCCAGTTTCTGATAGATAGATAGATAGATAGATAGATAGATAAATAGATAGATAGATAGATAGATAGATAGATAGATAGAGCGACAGAGAGAGAAAGAAGAGTCATATTATACAATATATATGTGTATATATATATATATATATATATATATATATATCTATATATATATATATATATATATATATATATATATATATATATATATGAGACAGAGACAGAAACAGATACAGAGACAGAGAAGGGGGTGGGGGGGGGGGTGGGGAGGGGAGAATAAAAGGTGTACCTTTTCTCAACGCCTGATGCATGGAAGCAGGGAACGACCAAGAGTGTGCTCTATCTTGGTCCTTGTCAGCAAAGGCTATGTTTCGAATCTTGTTTTCCGCCAATAACGCCTCTTTGCCTTCTTTTACTCCAAATCGCTGAAAAGTGAAATTTGTTCGCAAGTTAATTCGGAGCAAACTTTTAAGACTACAGATGAGACCGTTTTAGTAAGGAGGGCGAAGTTTGCGAGCCTCGATATTATTTACCACCTAATAGACCCTAATTGGAGGTCAACTAACTGCTGGTTAGGGGAACTTTTTTTATTTTTTAAAATCTATTATTCTGGGTGGCATCTGATATTTAACTTGGGGTTTTGCATGAAACTGCGTTCGTTGGAGTGTTTTTGCCACTGTTGTATAAAGGAGCATGACGACATTTCATATTCATTCTATCCCCCCCCCTCTTTTTTCCACGACCTTTGAGACCTTCTGACCACAACATTTCAGTGGTCATGTCCTGTTGGAGATGTATTCATGTGTATAGGAAACAGAAACAATTCTTAAAGACTTCTGTCAGGTTTTGCCAGTGGGCCAAAATTATATGTACAAAAACATACATTTTAAAAATAAAACAACCGTGCGATCTAGGTGTTTAAATCCTGGTAGGCCCTGTATGTGTCTTTAAGAAGTGGCCAAAGCCTCCCAATGTCTTGACTAAGGAGAGAGTGTTCAGTCTGTGAAAGAGGCATATTTTTAGTCTCACAAGGCGTTCTCTTAAAGACAAAGTAAGCTCAACGCTGCTAGATCATATTATTATTCTGGTTGCGCCACTGCGAGATTGACAACTTTTACTTCTGCGGACCCATGTTAGAGCTCAGGCAGTAACTGACTTCATTTCACAGATAAGTTTTTTTTTTTAACGTATGAGGCCATTTTACCTACGTAGAACGTAGAAAAATCCCTTGTCTTGATAGCCAACTCGCTACCTCAAAAGTACAAAGTTCTACCTTCTCAGTGCCTAGTTTTGATAAATTTGACGTAAAAGATTTTGAAGTTCACATCATACTAAGCTTTTTCGAATGTAATTCTCTGAATAACCTGATAACGACTCCGAACAATCTTACGATTTTGATAGAGAAGAGAGAGCATTTGGTTTCTGACCTCATGGTATTTGTAACTCGAAACATCCCCAAAAATATGCTAGATAGAACTTTGAAACCCTGAGGTTACTAACCTGCAGCTTGAGAGCGTCAGTTCTCAACAGTTGTCTCCCGTCGGCTCTCAGAGTTCCGAGAGCATGACTTGCAGAACACAGGCCTTGGGATGCCGCCCACATCTGGCTCTGTGGAGATATTCTCACGATATTTTGTTTTTATAAGAGTTTTACAGCACCAGCAACACACTTACGTCAAATAAGTCCCAAAGGTTAAAGGAGTTGCAAGAGAGTAACAAACACAAAAAAGAGGGGCGAAAACGACGATTGATGTTTGATAGGATAGGAAAGAAGGAGCAAACCACACCAGAACACCAGCCAACCACCCACTCTGTAGAGAATAGAATAGAAATAGAAATACCCATATGTCACTCTTGAAGAGCGAGACTCATAATTCCTGCCGTTGCCATAACATTGTAAGTGAACGCATTTTGCAGCTATATAATGTATAACATTTTCTACTTTCGCTGTATCTTCAAGAATTGAGACTGGAAACGTTGAAACATCATCTTTTTAAAAAAATGCTCTTCTTCAATAATGATGATGATGATAGTAATGGTTATGTCTGGTGTTCGTTCACCGGTGTATCATCGTCAGTCGGTATCTAAAACTCGAATGAGTAGTAGCCTACGATTTTTTGTTTAATGAAGCCAGGTTTTCATGTATGGCTCGTTAGTCTTGCTTTATAACAGTCTCCATCTACTTTTTTTACTCGTATATTTACCCGAAAGTCAACCTGCAACTCTCTCTCTCTCTCTCTCTCTCTCTCTCTCTCTCTCTCTCTCTCTCTCTCTCTCCCCATCTCTCTCTCCTTCTCTCTCTGTCTCTCTTTATTTCTCTCTCTCCCCCCCTCTCTCTCTCCTCATACACACATACACACATACATACATACATATCTATCTATCTATCTATCTATCTATCTATCTATCTATCTATCTATCTATCTATCTATCTATCTATCTATCTATCTATCTATCTATCTATCTATCTATCTATCTATCTATCTATCTATCTATCTGTCTATCCCCCCCCACACACACACGCGCTCACACACAATTTCCAGATTTCCACATTTCAATACAATAAGAATTGGAAAATAGTAAGTCTGCTTAGAAGACTAAGGAGTGCACACCAATCACAGTAGAAACGTTTTTGGGTTTAAATTAGGAGAAGAACAAAACAGTAAATATACTTTTACCTTTTCACAAACAATTTAGATTTGGATAGAGTTTAGCAGTATAGAAAAACCTATAAAATGCTATCACCTGTATTAAAATGGAATAACTAGTTGGTTCTTACATTTACGAATGCAAAGAAATAGAAAGATTATAACCAACACGAAAAGTGTAACAACAGACAGACCAAGTTACCCAAAGCAATAGGAGGACAAAGTCATAAAGATGCTCTTTATTTTTTAAAAACACTTTTAGGTTTGAATAGAGATTAGCCGTGTAGAGAAAACTACAAACAAATTATAACCATTACTAAAATTGTAACCACCGACCACCAAAGCTACTCCAAAAAGTTGGAGGACAAAGTAATACCGACCCGTTTAGCTTTTAATAAAACTTCAAAGGCTGGGATAGAGTTTATTAGTGTGAAGAAACCTATAAAATGCTATCACCTGTGTTAAAATGGAATAACTTGTTGGTTCTTACCTTTACGAATGCAGAGAAACTAAAAAATTATAACCAACAGGAAAAGTGTAACAACCGACCGACCAAGTTACCCGAAACAGTAGGAGGACAAAGTAATAAAGGTACGAGGGGGAGGCAAAAAGTACTGAAAGTTGTTCGTTATTTTGCACAATTTTACATCAAATTTAATGAAATTCAGCTCATAAGTACTTTCTCATATACTTTTGAACTCAAATTGTTAAAATCTAAGTTTCTTTTATTTCGGTCCAAATGACGTCACATCAAAATGGCTACTCTCTTGGAGTTCTTTCGGAGGTAAAGAGCAGTGGTTGAATATCTTGTTTTAGAAGGAAAATCCACCGATAGCATCCAAAAGAGACTTCGAAATGTTTACAAGGACCACGCTCTAGATTTTGTAACTGTATACAGGTGGGTCAGACGTTTGAGTAATAAACCGGAAGAAGAGGAAGAAGTGTGCCCATACGCTTGTCAGAAAAGCATCGTCACGAGGAGTCAGCTGGAAAAATCATGGCAATTGTGTTTTGGGACGTTCATAGCGTGCTTCTCACAGATTTTTTTTTTACCACGAGGAGCAACTGTCAATTCTTAACCCTACATTGAAACATTGGACGACTGAAAACGAGAAATTGATGAGTCAGACCAAATTTGAACGTGGAAAGAGTGGTTTTTTTTTTTACCATAACAATGCCCGTCTGCATTCGAGTACCTCAACAAGGGAGACAATCACCCCGTTTAAGTGGAAAACACTGCCACACCCAACTTATTCTCCTGATTTGGCTCATTTAGACTTCCACCTTTTCGGTTCTAGAAAAGAACCATTTGAGAGGTCAACACTATGGAAACGATGGGGAAATTAAGACTGCTGTACCCCTACGACCAACCTGATCAGTTTTGCGCAGCTAGTATATGTGGACTAAGTCAAAGGTGCACACTGGCTATTGAACGAAATGGAGACTATGTTGAGAAATAGAAATATGATCCTCAGATGCTCCCCTTCAATTTGAGGTATGATAGTTGCAAGTGTGTTCTTTTTTTTCTTTAGGTTATAAACGAACTTGCATTACTATTTGATTCACCCTGGTATTTCTGGATATAAAAAATCATATTTAGATTTGGATATAGTTTATCCGTGTTCAAAAACGTAGAGAATGCTAGCACCTATGTTAAAACAAAATAGTGTGTTCGTTCCTACATTTAGCCAGGCACAGAAAATAAAAGATTATAACCAATACTAAAATTGTAACGACCGACCGCATAAGTTACTCAAAAGTAGGAGGACAAAGTAATTAAGATACTTTTAGCTATTAATAAAACATGTAGATTTGAATAGAGTTTATTTGTGTAGAGATATAGAATACTATTACTTGTGTTATAATAGAATAACATGTTTGTTCTTACATATAGTCATTTACAAATACAAAAAATTATAACCAATACTAAAAGTGTAACGACCGACCACTCAAATTACCCCAAAACAGTAGGACGACAATGTAATGAAGATGCTTCTAGAATTTTTAAAACATATTTGGTTCAACATTTAGGCATGCACAAAAACTTTAAAAATTAGAACCAATACTAAAAGTGAAACGACCGACCGTCCAAGTTACTCAAAACGGTAGGATGACAAATTAATAAAGATACTTGTATCTTTTTACCACAAATTTAGGTTTGGATAGAGATTTGGATACAATTTTGCCCGTGGATAAACCTACAAAATGTTAGCATCTTTGTTAATACAAAATGATGAGTTCGTTTCTACATTTACGCAATCACACAAGCTAAAAGATTATAACCAATACTAAAAGTGTAAAGACCGACCGCGCAAGTTACTTAAAAAAATAGGACAAGGTAATAAAGACACTTCTAGCTTTTAATAACACACTTTAGCTGGGACAGAGTTTAGCCTTATATAAACTTATAAAATGCTATAACCTGTGTTAAAAAAAGAATAACATGTTGGTTTTTGCATTTAGACTCGCACAAAAACTAAAAGATTATAACAAATACAAGTTTAACTTCCAATTCACCAAGTTACTTAAAACAGTAGGAGGACAAAGTGATAAAGATACTTCTAGATTTTTATAAACTTATTTAGCTTTGGATAGTTTATCCATGTGGGAAAACCTGGAAAATGCTAGAAGCTATTTAAAAAAAAGGCTGATTCCTACATTTAACCTGGCACAAAAAAATAAAAGATTATAACCAATACTAAAAGTGTAACGACCGACCGTCTAAGTTACACAAAACAGTAGGAGGACCAGGTCATAAAGATACTTTTAGATTTAAAAAAAAAACGTATTTAGATTTGGATAGAGTTTAGCGATTGTGGATAAAACTAGAAAATGTTAGCATCTTTGTTAATACAAAATGATGTGCTGGTTTCTACATTTAGCCAGGCACAAAAACTAAAAGATTTTAACTTATACTAAAAGTGTAACCACCGACCCCCCAAGTTACTTAAAGCACCCATTAACATTATTAGCTTATTTAGGAGGCGGGACCGAAGAATTTAACGCCGTCTCCAATTGAGCAGAGCCAAAGGGTCTGATTGAGTATCTTCAAAACTCCACAAGACGAGCCGGGTACAAGGACGCCCATTCTAGGCTTCGAACTGCGGCCATCCACTTCGTAGTCCAGCATGATACCAGCTGAGGTAACGGAGCGCTCCACCAATTACACCAGCTAGCAGAAAGAGACAAAGGGACAGAATGTCGAACTACCCCCTTCCCCACAACACACACACACACACACGCCTACCCACTCCCCCCTCCACACACACATACAGACGTTATCAACTCAATTGAATTATTTTTCACCCTCTGTATGACCCAGAAACCACGACCATTTTGTAGCAACACGATTGGAACGCTTCTCGCGTCGCAGGGGGTTCAGCTGGCCTGACCAATGGGATCAGTGTCTGTGTCCAAATTAAGCTGCAGGCTCCGGGGTACTCCAGACAGGAAATTATAGACAATTTCATTGCTGTTCATTCGTATTCAACACGAGTTAGATGAAAACCTTCCTAGTTATTACTGGGAAGCGTTTGTGGGCCAGGGGTATAATTCTGAACATTATCTGAATGAAAAAACGTGTCTATGGAAAATACAATACGTTAGTAATAAAAAAACCTGTCAGACTAGTTTGAACAAATACTCGAGAGTAAGATATGGGGCAAAAGGGCTAAGGGTGGACAAAGAACAAAGTAACAGATAACCTTAATGCATGGACTGGCCTAAATTGAAAGAGGAAATATGGGCAGCTAGGGACTGTAAGCAGTGGCGGACCGTTGCATGTCAACCTGTGAGCCAAAGATGAAATTTCCATATAATCATGTACATCCATGGCTCTGAAGTTCAACCAAATACGGTAGGAAGAGTATAAAGAAATCGAAGGAGATGGAGAAAAACCCAATAGATGTTAGACGACAATAAGTCAGTGTCTGTCGTATGCGCAGATGTTCATGTTTACTGA